AATATTTTTAAGCAGCTTCAAAACCGTACACACCTACAAGAAATTGAATCGTTGCTATCACACAATCTTGTCAGTGGATCGATCTGATTCAACTAGGTCAGGTTATACATATAAGCATACATCCAATATTATGCAAGCTTAGTATATTATGTTTCTATGTTATGTTTAATCTATGTTATTGAAAATATGTCACTGATATTAGTAACAACAGCTTTACAATATATTAACATAATGGATAATTTTCATACATCTAAATGTATTTAAGTCCAGTTCCAGGTCGGCGCATTTACAACAGTATAACACAGTATAACTGTATAGACACAGATTATCTTCTAAATCCCATGAAAAAAGTATTTGGAGCAATTTGTGTTCAATAGTTGCAATAGAGCACTCGGCCAACTAATTAAAGTTCAGAAAAAACTGTGTTTCTTACAGAGTTCAAGTTTAATATAGTTTTTCACTAAATATAATTTCTAAATACATATTACTTTTTCTGGTTCGGATAGATTGAAATACCAAGAGCCTTAGAAGTTTTCAATACGGTTGCTCCAATTTTATAAAAGTTTTTTTTTGCGGGTGTTGTACTACAACATTATATTTTCAAATATGACGAACACCAAAACTTAAAAAAAAGAAAAAAAATTGCGATCAGGTCGGAGAGACAACAAATCAAATAAAGCGGCTAACAAATGTGTAACTGTTATCCTAAATTATACCAATATTAAGAACAATAAAGTGTGAGCTCCAAATTTATGTGAACTAGAAAATCGATCAGCGTTATCTTAATATGTTGTTTAAATTGATCAAAGCAGCAAATATCGGAAAATATTTAATGGCATTTTGGTTAGAAGTGTTAAGCCAAAACGGAAGAAGAGTTTAGGTGTGTTACCGACAAGTATCTATAGCCTCGGATTCAAGCCTATTAGCTCTCGTTACCTCGCTGCATCGTGCAAATGACACTACAAAATCCTTATATTTTGAATGAGTTTGGCTCAAATTATCCAACGAGGGACAATCTGTTATCCTTGTGAATGTGTCTTATTCTGATCGAAATATACGTGAGAAAACCAGAGCCCGTTTTTTCGTCGATGTTTTCAAAAACATAATGCAATTATTTCTACTCTCATTAACTTCAAAAAGCAGTTGTAATGGTTCATGACTTATAATTAGATTGATAAAATGTTAAACTGTTTTAATCCGAGTAAAGGTGATGCAAGTATTTCCCCGGTTACTTCGCTAAAGACGCTATTGATACGGTTAGCATATTATACATATAGATGCTTAAAGTTGATCTCCACTTATAAATCGGAAGGAAACAAATGATTATTTATCAATATAGACGCAACTGTACGCTTGATATAAAAAGCACATTTTACATTACTATAAATTTCGATTTTTAGTCGTAACGCCCAGCACATTTTGTCCATATTTCTCCTATACCTTATTCCATTCTTTTCGTACCATTCAACACAAAAGTCGTTTTGTGTTCCAGTTTAAATTCAAATTCAGTTAGTTTATATTCAAATCAATTACAATATACATTGTAAACCGAGTCAATACAAATACGCCAGCGAGTCCTAAAAAAGATCAATAAAATGCTACGTTTACAAAAAAAAAACTGAAAATATTTGATAATTAATCAAGTGAATTGCAGGATTGCAGGTTTTCGAAACTGCTCAGTTTTCAACAGTTGGCAATTAAACTGATATATTTGACTCGACGGTAATGAAATTGTTGAAATATCAATCATTTCTTTACCGATAAATTATAAACGTGCAAAAGTTTACTTTTAGAAATTGTGTTTAATCACAGTTGTTTCTAAACAATACAACTGGCATACAAACGAAAACTGTTCTGAACGACTCGTTTAAATTGTCAATTAAACTGTTACTAAAATTTCGATACTGTAGTAGTTGTTTTTGAATCATTAGTAAATATGGTAAATATTTTTTCCCGACAATTCAACAAAATAATGTATTTCATTTTTTAAATAGATATGCTAATACGAAATCCATATTTTCTGTGCTGTCGATCAATGAATAATATATTAAATTCTGATAAGGCATGAAAGTGCCGTTCAATGCATTCGCTGCTATAAATATGTATGCCGACTGTTGTGCATATCATGATGAAAATACGAGGGTTATATCCCACTTTAAGACGTGAACTCACCCTTTTCCCGATAGATATGAATGCGGAAACAAGCAGGTTTTGAACACGAATCGCCAAAAAATCAAATCAATAGATTTGAGAGGAATTTCTTATCATGCAAAATTTTTTTAACGCTTTTGAAATCAATGCTGTCTGACTATAAAAAGTAATAAAACTAAAACGCTAGCAATAGCAAGTAGAAGGAAAGAACCAAATGCATTTTAGGTTCTTTTTTCGGACAGAAGCTGAGTGTATTTGTTAAGCAGTTCAACCTTTCGACTATAAAATATACGATTGCGCTAGAAATTGGTAAAAGAGACAAAGCAGTCAAGAATTGCTCACTTTACTTTAACAAAAACGGCATGAATACCGCCACTTCTTAAATTTGCATTTTGAGTTTAGCTGAGCATGTCGAAAGCTTAAAAGTTTTATTTATGTCTTGGTTGGATTTCAACTTTTAACTTTAATTATGATTATACAGTTTTCGAACAAGACAGAAATGCAGAACGTTTGCAGAAAATAGAGCAAAAGTTCATCGGCAAAAAATGGTTGATTAAAAAAACTACTTCTACCTAATTAGTGTACTCTCAAACAGAATAAATTATCAATCCTTATCAAAGAAGTATAATTTTTCCATAGGTTCCTTGTATTATAATTTAAATGTATAATGAACTACCGACTAATAAAAGTTATCTTCGTTGTTAGTGCCAAATGTGAAGTGTCCAAATCTGTTATATAAATATTTAAGTGTTTGTCTGAAAGGGAGCTTTACATTTAAAAAGTTGCCGGCAAAATTTGCATCAAAAATAAAATTGTTAGGCTCACTGTAACGAAGTAGTAAATAACTACAATGGCAGGATGGATAAAGGGATATTGTGGAATAGGAATATTCATTCCCCCGGTTTTTCCGATCGGGTATAGAAAACCAGCCAACTACAAAATTAGTAAGAGTTGAAAATGGAATTTGATTTTACTCAAATTTAATATATGCATGAAGAGGAATTACCAAAATAGTGTTCGGAAAGTTGATATATTACTAAATTGGTCCTACTAAGTCCTTTTAATTTTCGAAACATGGCGTTCAACACTTAACCATTCCTGGGTCTTTTCCTGGTAGACACCTTTCAGACAATTTCAACCCTCTCGCATTAGTGGAATATTCTACGGCACTATTTCTTCTGGGGATCAAATGGAGTTTGCTCGTCATATAAATTTACCATTTTTAGTAACTTTCGGTAAAAGCTGAAGTATCTCTTGTGCTTCTTGCCTTCTTGAATCTAACATCAGCACAACTAGAGCAAACTCGAACTTTTCTTTAAATAATGCAGCTACCTTTCTCAACAATACTCTTTTATAAGTCGACGTATGATATTAGTGAATTTTTGAATTTTAGCTTCAGTGCATTCAGTTTTTAATAATTATAATATCGTTTGCAGTACAATGTTATAGATATATCTAAAAATTCATGATAAAAAGTCCTTTTTTCAAATAAAGAATTGCTTATTTTGCGTTGAACGTAAATGCTAATTATAAAGGAATGAAATGAAAATTGATGTTTCAAACGACTTGTAAGTAGAGAAACTATCGGAGCGTGTTAGGGGTTTAATCCTAACATCTAGTTTAATTACCGTTCCCGGTTCCAGATAATAAGTTTGTGATATCCAGAAATTAGGAACAGTTAATTGAAGAACTTTTCATTAACACACATTTAAGATCTAAATGTTAAAGACTTTGCCTGCTCTTATAGTAGATACCATACTGTATCTGTGAATGCTAAGTCTAAGAACATTACCTATTAAACTAATTACTTTCAGAGGAGTTTTGCCTGTGCAAAGACTTTTATGGTCTGTTGTCAGTTGTTACAACTGTAACTTGTTAGTACAGTGGATGCAGATCGTGACCAACATTTAGAAGAATTGTTGAAAATGTTTGTCCAGGTTTCGTTATTAATTGGTCGATAGATAGCAGCAGAAAAAACACTTTTTTCTTGAACCAACGTTTCTGCTATATTTAAGCTTTGATGGATAAGGTTACAACCATAGATCAAGACAAGTAATGTTGTTATAACAGTTTAGATTATTTGCGGCTAATTAAGCCACAAAAAACATTAGCTTAAAAACTCTTTTATTTATCGTGCTCTTCTCGCTCGTAGTTTGGCCGAAATTGTTCCCGAACCTGCAAATCAGTATTCTTGCACGGTCTTAAGAAGCTTTTGCGTTAATGCACCCTCATGTGTATCACCGAAACCATGCAGTTATGCATTATAATCTACTAGTCGACAATATATAATATAATGAACTTTGAATAGTAATTTGGCATAAAGAAGGCAGGTATGACGCATCATATGAGGTTTGACGGTGGTTTTCGATATTCCTTACACTAATGTTAGAGCCAGGAAGTTCATTTTAACCAACACGTTTTAAAAAACTGTTTGTGCCATTTGTTTGCCAGACACATAAGAATTCATTAGGATGTGTTATACGAATTTGACCTAATTTCATGCATCTGTTTGCAAGAATCGGCGGACTTTGGTGAAAGACACAGAGCATCTACGATACAAAATTATTTTCTTTTGGTTCAGTCTCTACACAGTCCGAGCTGATTTGAGCACATATCACGTAAGAAATTCCTACTGCCATTAGGTATATACCTACTCTACAAAGAAATTTTTTTTATCAAGGTGATATACGAGGGATAATAATTGAAATATCTTAAGACTTTGCAAATGTTCGAAAATACTTCTCTTACATCTGTAGTTAAATGGTTTCTATTCTAATACTGAAAACGTGGCTTTGCAAATGTCTAAACAATACACTACTAAAAATATCTGCTAATATTTGATTTAGCCGTTACCAAAATTGACTATATCCAGGAAATAAATTATTCCAGAATCCCTTATTTCCAGGTTTCAGTACTCGAATAGTTTCATGATGATCTTGATCTGATTGATAAATTCGCATAAAAAACATCAGAAGCTAATTAATTTGACCCCATCACTTACCATCGGTAGCATTCAGAACATGCACGTTTACATAAGATGGAATGGCATTTGCTGGATAGCAAGTGTAATTTCCACTAAAACTTGGATCAACGTCTTCTATTCGTAGGATGCTTGTTGATCTATCGATAGTAACTCGTACTCCTGGATCGTGATTAATCATCCGATGATCATGATACCTGAAAAAACAAACGCATTTTAGAACCAGTTCACTCAGGTTCAAGGCGTTTTCCAAAGTACTTATCAAAACAACCGGGTTCCTAAAATAGTTCCAGCATGCCAATCCAGGCCATTTACACTGACCCTGTAGTAAAATATTCAAATGCAATTACTTGGAAACAATTCGTGTAAAATATGCACGTCGAATTTGCAGTCTAACAAACGGTTCCATTAGCAACTGCTTTAAACTGTAAATTATAGTTAAATTACTAGTTCAAGGTTTTTTAAAGTATTCCTGAAACGCACAAATTTTCCTTAATTGCATAGAAATTTATCGGAACGCTAAGTTTATGAGCATGGTCTGAAGAAATATTTCTATGTTAATTGAGTATCAAAAATAAACCAAAGTCCAAATCTGGCAAATAATTTAAAAATGTCAATTTATACTATCCGCAAAATTCTGCTTCACGGCACGAAGTTTATAAAAATTTTAGGTATTTCCAATTTATTAGAACGTTATATTAACTTTAAGCAAAATACTACAGTGTGTTTGCACCATATGAAAACGTTTCTTATTATTTTTTATTTTACGAAAAAAATGCTCTTTATAAAAACTCCTTGGTACAAAATCTAAAATACACCCATGAGATACTATTTTTTTCCGACGTATACGAGGTATATCAAATAACATCAATTTTTCTTGTGAGTGAACTACCTTTATTTCTGACAATATTGACAATTATTATTCAGAAAAATTGATCAGAGTTGAAAAGTTCGTTTCAAATGGAAGACCTTTTTTTATTACAAATTTTAGGAATGGGTGCAGTTAGACAGCTGAACGTACTTTCAAGGGTTCACGGAAAAAACGAAATCTCAAATAGAACAAAACATTGAATTTTTAAAAAGCGTTAATTGTTTTATTGTTAAAATATGTTTAATTTTAAAGTAAAATATAATTTCATATTAACTCCACGTTTCAAGCAAATAATGCAGGTTAGTTTCATCAACATAGCATCATAAATGTTTGCAAGGCTTTGAAAATGTAAGTATTTATCATGCCTTCTTCTTTATTGGTCTACAGCAATCGCAAACAAAACCCACAAGTTTCGGGGATATTCAACAAAATTCAAAATTAGCATCGACCAGCACGGTATTTAATTAGCTAGGGTCACAAAGGGAAGTGGATACACACATGACTGTTAAAAGCCCTTTTGCAATAAATCGAACATACATTATTCAAATTTAATGAAAATCAGCCTAAACAAACCGCTATGCGGGCTTTTGGATAATGGAAGGCCGCAAGAACTGCAAGCGTGCTAGCAATAACGCCCATTTTGTATTAGGTGTAGTTAGCGGAAGTGGCCAGTCGACAATTATATTAATATTTACCGTTCTATTTAAAACATTCATAGAAAGCTGTTATTGTTGTTGGCCTTTGAATTTATGTCGTTGTGTAACGTCCCCTTAACAGACCAATTTTTTAACTCATTTTACGTTAATGCTTATCAGCTCTAAAGATGATCGATCACTCCGACTTCCCCTCGAGAGCAACCCCAATAATGAGAGTGGAGCGAAAATTACAGATTGCTTTCTACAAAAAGGAGGTAGAATGTGCGTATTTCGTTTCTTGTTATATAAAAGTCACTTGCTGATTTAATCATTTTTACTTTCCTCAAGTTATTAAATGTGTGCTCCTTGTCAATAAAGTTCCAGAAGTTTGGATTAGTTTAGCTTAGAACAAGTTACATCGCAAATAATCCTGAAGTCGCAAAGGACTTTTCAATGCTTCGAATTGTTAATACAATTAATTTAATGTATATTCAGATCCCAAAAGTAAGGTCTAAATTTATTTAAAACAAAGAGAACGGTTTTTTGGAAAAACCTCGGACCAGTCAATTTTTATTTGTAAATGCGAGTGATGCAAAAATAAGTTTACGATAACCAAGTTTTTTTTTTCAAATGAAAGCACCTGCTTTTTAGTTGAAGTTTTAATTATCGATTGTTTCCGTTAAATGTCTGAAACATTCGCCCACGATACTTTCATAAAATTTTCAAAATTATCAAAATCCCTATGAATTTTGAAACGTTCATATAGAAATTCAACGATTATAGCGTTATATCCGAGAAATTACAGCTGCTCCAAACGCGATGCACAAATATTTGGTATGCTGTTAGCACAACTTACCGAAAAATCATAGCATAGTGGTAAAGCGCCAAATGTGCTGGCCGGCCAATTTATAAAGTTATAAAACCCATTGGCAGAACGTGTTTTGAAAATATCGCAACCAATCTACAACATTCAATTTGGCTTACGATGTAGGTCAAATACTAAATAATAAAATACTAAAAACAAAAGCTTGATATGCTCTGAAGTATTTGCTAATGCACTTTTGTGTCAGACTATTAACTCAATAGGTTTTTATCGCTTTGTCAATTATCATTTTAGCACCTAAATAGGACAATAAATGTTCCCACAACTTTGCCTTCCATAAGCGATTTACGTTTGTTAGCTGAAAAGGCACGCGTCCAGTACTTAAATGAAAACTGATCAAACTCTTTAAATAGGCTTGGACATGTCGAAATGGTCCTAAAATAAGGTTGTTAGTGGTTGAAACTTTTTTGCGAAAATGTTTTGTTTTTCGGTCGTAAGTAATTCGTAAAGCCACTCAAAAAAATCGGTTGTAGTATAGGAAATTTAAACTACTCGAAAATTACCGAGCTCCTTTGCAGCGCTTCCTTAGAGTCCTTCCTTACTAAAAATTCGGCCGTCAATTTTTTTCCGTCCCCGGTATCACTTCCAACAAAATATTCTAAATGGGTTATGAATGGGTTGTTGCTGGGAAGCTTAAAGAATCGTGTGATTTAATATGTATAAAATTTGTATTCTTTTACATTGTCACTAAGACAATAATAAATATTTGGTCAGGCAGCTCACTTTTAAGAGCTTTAAGAACTTTTTGGGTCAGAGTGAATATAAAGTTTCTTTATTTTTTTGGGTGTAGCATATTCTTGAACTCTCGCAGATTAAAATTTGACCACCTTGTATGTATACGTACATAAATAGATAGACAAAACCTATATATGGTTGAGGTATAAACGCTTGACTAACAATCGCAAACATTAGTATAAAATTACGAGACTTGAGCAAGCTATAAACCACGATAAAGTTTTATCAGAGCTGCAGTTTGCACAGCATGGTGTGTAATATTGAAATTATCTTACCAAAAGACGTATGCAGGCGGTTCTGTGCTGTGACGCAGCCTGCACACTATGCGAAGCCGGGATCCAGCTCGGATGTGGAGGTCGGGAGCTCCAGAGATTTCCGCTATGGCTTCTGTAACAATAGAAGTTGACGTCAAATGCGCTCAGTTTTCCGGGTATTCAAGTCACATTACGGCAAGAAAATGAGGAATTAAATATTCTTTGGTGTGCTTCACTAGAAGTCAAAAAAATTCCCTGATAATTAACATATATACGTTTCCGTAAATACAGCAGAATATCATTAAATTAAATACCCACTTGAAAAAAAGATTGTAATATGAAGGACCGATAAGTACAATTTAGTGCTATTAACATTAAATATTTTGTAATTGATGGGATTACAAAATTGAAGATAAAAAATTTTTGATAAAATAAACAACCGTTTAGTACCGTGCAGACATTTCTGGTGATATATCTGAGTGAATTTCCGTAAGAGCAGCTCCCAAAAAATGATGAAGAAGAGAAGAAAAAGGCTAACCCTATAGGAATAATATTAATTTTCTTCCTTTCTTGAACTAATTTATAAGACGGTCTCAAAATATGTATACAAAATTTCTCTATGGGGTTTATTTTGTCTTGTTCATTTAGAAAATAATACTATATTAATATGAATCTCTGGATATCTCAAAATGCTTTTTATTCATTATCCAGTTAATATTTAAAATTTAGAACGACGAGTTAAAAGTGGTATCATGAATTCTTAATGCATCCACTTAATGGTTCAAAGCATTCCTTGTCAGGCAGCAGTCACTTACTACATTGAATGCTGGAATTGTTCGGATAAAGTCCCAACGGATAATTTCACCACAAAACGTTATATATAAGTTTTTAAAACCTGTCTTCTAGTCAGTACCAATAGAGAATATAAATATAATTTTCTAGTATTTTCGACATGATTTGCATTTAATTTTAAAACAAACATTTATATAAAATAACGTCGTCCAACTTCTTTCGCCATAGTTGAGAATACTTCTTTTGAAATATAACCATAGAGATTCACCAAAATACAAGAAATTATGGCATTTTCATTTACACTTATCCACTAAAGTGCCTAATTATTTCGAATTTATTGCTATCCATAGAAAGAAAGTTTTAATGTCCGTCATAAAATATAACAATTCAGTAAACATTATGTTGCAATAAAACGGAAGAATAAAAGGGCAAAACGTATTATAGGTAGGAACTTCCACAGAGCCGAAAATCCATAAATATTTCACGCACCCTCTGGAAAATATATTTATTGGTTGGAAGGTCGCAGGTGGGTACACGAAAAGGGGAAAAACCTATATATTTATTAGTAGCTGATTGTTTAGCCCAATTTCGATGCAATCTAAATGTTGCTTTAAGGCTCAATAATTTCCGTTCTGATTATACGCTATAATAATTTAATTAAACTCAACCGCTAATTTGGTAAAAGCGATACTTTTAACTTTACGCGTTTTACTCAAAAGAGGCAACATCAGCTTACTGACGACTGATTTAGTTTATTTTATTTCTTTCAGTATTATTTTCTCTTTCTAGGAATTGTACGAGCATCAACTTATTCATTTATTGCATATGTGATAATTTTTAATAAAAGTTCACTTGATCAAGTATTATTAGATAAGTTATCTGTTGATGCCATGAACTTTAATCTCCGCTCCTCAATTAATGTCTGCGCCTCGTCCTGCAGGAACACTTCCTGAGTAACTGAAACACTGTTGAACTGGAAAAAGCCAAATTCTGCTTTTACGATTTAACAGTGATTTATTACAGTGGAACAAATCCATATTTAAGAACTCTTAGTTGCCATTAGAGAAATATAGAAAAATAGAAATAAATGGAAACAAGGTCTACGTCCAAAAATGGAATACATAAAGCTCAGAAAAAAAACTTATAACTATTAAAAAAACTACTTGCTAATGAAACATGAATAATTTTAGATAGAGTTGATTTCATCTATTTCTCACAAAAGCGGCCGTTTAACTAATTTAACTAAAACATTAATTTAAAAAAGTACCCAAAACCGAAAAGATCTAATAAAAGCGAGTAATTTCACTTTGGCTTCCTAACGTGTAACTAACGATAATTAAACATATTGCCAGGTAGAAAATTAGCTTTGCGCAAATTCTATGGTCGTAAAGTAAACAGCATCCGCATAATAAATGAAACACAAATTATATTAACCTCTAAAAGCTAATGAATTTATTACAAAAGAAATTAGCGCAAAAAGTTTTAACGTCCCATGTAATAATAGAGTGCACAGGGTTAAGCTGGCGGCTTTAATAGCAAAGGAGGGTGGCAACAATGCCGGTCTGAGCTTTGTCTTGTTGAAAAGAAAGTCGGAAGTGGAAAAATCGCAAGCAGCTTGCGCCATATATCAAGTGAGGAAAGGATATTGCGGTTGAGTTGAAAAAATTAGCAGCTTTATTATCACAGTCACCTTTGAACAGATTTATTACAGAGAGGAAGTAAATCCTGTTTCGTAATATTTTCTGTTGCATTTGAAGGGCAATATACAAGCTATTTTTATGATTAGCAACTAAAAATAGCATATTTATACTAAGCCGGACAAGCTAAAGTGCAATCGCATTTTGACACAAAAAATGTTGCTGGGTAAGAAAAATGTTCTACAAACTCTTTGCGGTAGATTGCAATGAAACTGGATATTAATTTACTTAATAAAAGTGAACTTCTTCACTTTCTTTACCAAGACGGAGCGACAACTGCGAGCCCAATCCATTAGCAAGTTGGCTCAATGAAATTAAAACCAGTTTACGCACTTTAAACGTTGACGGAAAATTGAAACTGATGAAACTTCAGTTGAAGAATTGGTATATGGGTTCAGAAAAAATGTTCAATTGTTTCAAAAGGTCTTTTACAACTGAACTGCAAACAAAAATTTAGGAAACCAATTTATTGAGCAGCTGGTAAGCATTGTTCGTTCGAGATGTATAAATATTTCACTGACAATATTCCGAATCAAACAGATTTGAAATCCCCAGAACGGTTGTTAGATCTTGCATGATCATCTCAGTCTCAGCCAGTAAATTCATCAAGAAGACGGTCTAAGATATACCGGAAGCCAATAGATATAACGAACAGCCTGAAAATTGAGGTTAATTTGAACTTTATAGAGTATTATAACTTTTAATAGGTTCCCTCGCAAATAGTTTAATTCAAAGACTTCAAACGCCAAAATAAATTAAACCAGTTGACCGATGTTATAAGGCGCAGTATTTTTGACGTACATATTTACTAAAGTAATTCTGAGCAATTACAAGTTTGAACATTTTAAATTAACATTTTTAAATATATCTAGGCAAAGTTTGTAAAATGTACATTAAAGTTTTTACAACGCAGGTAATTCATAATTCGATGCATATAAAAGAAAACCCATTTGCAGTATAGTTGAAATTAAGCTGCAGCTGTTCATGTAATAGCAATTTAGAAGGAAATAATTGAAAAGGCGCTCTTCAAAACGTTTGATTCTTGTTGATAATTCGAGCAGCGCTTAAACTCGATTTAGTAGTCACTAGCGAGATTTAATGCTATGATCCGTTCCCAAAAAATTTTGCAATATTTTTTCATTTAGAATGTTAAATTAAATCATGGAAATTTCTACTATCGGAATTGGAAGTGTATACGTATCCACCATGCTGCCTAAGAAAACCGAACATAATTATTGTTCAACGACGACACTTTACGTGGTTCGGTTACAGGTCTGGAGGCGGCTTACCAGGATGGCGCAAATGTATCCACATTACTGAGTGCGAAAATATACTTTCCTCTGAAAAAAACATGTTCAAGGATCATCTATCAATAAATACCAATACATGATATCAAACTGCAACCTATAAAGTTTTACTTGCTCGTGGTGTTTGTTTTCCAAGCAAACCCACCTACGCTTAACATTATATTTCCATTATATTTTTTCACGAAACCCACATATTTTTCGCTGCCATTCCCTAGAGAATAAAATTAATTCTATTAGTTTGTGGTCTGTTGTTGCTTGCGTAACACTGCTGAAGGCGGTTCACCGACATATTAAAGAATAATGGATATTCCTGGGTGTCGAACTGATTTTTAATATGCGGGAGTGAACGCTTCATCAGAAATTTTAGTGTCTGGTATAAACAGTGTTAATTGCATCAGGAAAACAATAGAAAAATGTGAATGCAACTTTTAGTCTTTATTACAAATTTGATTCTGATTATTCGACCGTCTTCTAAATTATAAGACTGTTTACATTGTTTACTCAACGATCGTTTCCTCATTTCAGTTTCAACAGAACAGCTATAAAAATGTTCATTAAGTACCACTTAGTTACTCCGACTTGGCTAACCGATAACTCTACACAGACATTTTGAAACAGCAATATATAATAAATGTTATAAGTGCGAATTCCAACCGTTGAAAATGGTAATCATCAATTCATAAGTTCTGCATCAAAAAGATATTTCTTCTGTTTTCAACTTCTTCAAGTTGTAGTGTGAAAGCGGTTAACCAAATGTGAGCTTTTGCGGAGTGTATCAGATGACTGTCCATATTGATCTATTTAGAGTCTGACAAAAGATTTGTCATAACTTATACAAATAATTATTATATAACACCAACTACTTAGAGGATAATGCGTAAAATAAAAAAGAAAATATGATAAATTCTTTAATAATTAGGATCTCATTTATTAAAAGCTTCGGCATCCTGTTGTTTGGAGAATAAGTACGTAAGCTAGAAAGTATATTGGAGAAACTTTACACTTTTCGCACCGGCTAAAACAAACAAAAACCCATTTTAACTGACTCTTTACACATCCAAGATTCAAAGGGTACGGACCCTCTGAATCTTGCATAATGAAGTTCCCGTAAGAAAATGAAAATCCCCCTTTAAGTCAGGTTAGTGTGAACCGTCGGTAAACAGTCCCTACATTCTTTATCAACCTTCTCGACCCTTTGGGAAACAGGTAAATATTATGTAAGGATAAAGCGCAAAAAATACTGAAGAGTGACAAAGAAGTGTGCGGAAGGAAAACTTATTTTTTATTTTCGATGTTATACTGTTTTTTCGTATGCATACATCGTGTGCGCGTATATT